TTTTTGGGTCGGAAATGGGGCGTTTCGGGAGAGGCGGGAGGTGCCGCCGTGCAGCTGCGGTCCCGGCTCTGGCTCGGCCCGTGACTGGTGCACGGGGTCCGCTGAGTTGTGGTGGGCAGTGCTGCGGCACGGGGAATGTCAAACCCACTTTGTGCGCAGCATCTGTGCAAGGAAAAGTGGTGGGAAACCTCATGTATGTAAATTAAAGTATAAATATGGCATTGCGGTTTTCACAAGCACTTTACATTGCCAGTCGACGCATACCAGCTACTTTAAAGGCATCCTGTCTATTAAAACAGGGAAGTTTCATTGGGTTTTTTGCCACTGTGGTGAGTGGCAGGGCAGGACAATCTCCATCTACTTCTAGTAAAATGCATCTTTGTCATGTTTAGATATTTTTTTGAGGTATTCTATCTTCTATATGAAATAATAATCAGTTAAGCAATAATACCCGGAATTGGTGTCCCCTGGCATCCCAAATTACATGTACACCTTGACTGTGAGACAAAAGAAACCATTTTTAAGTTTACAATCTTTTGTTTAGTAGATAGCCTAGCAAAAAGTCCGTGATGACATAAAATCCTTGTGTTTTGGTAACACACATATTCTGGAAAAATACTGAGTCACGATTTGCGAACTTCAGGAGAGGGAGAACCCCTTTCCTTTTGGAGGAGCTTGTTCTCATTCTGAAACACTGTTAAATGCATTTTCTTATTTCTGAGCTCAATCTGCCTGAGTTCAGTTCAGGCTGGTGCTTGTTGCGGCATCTCCTATTGTGTAACACCACATTTGGCATGACAACTCTCTCTACATTTACAGTCTGAGTTCTTAAATTTCTATCACACTCAGCTTCTGCAAACCAGGTTGTAGGTACTTTTTAAAGAAGACTTGGAGGCAGACCTCTGAAAAGTGAGTAATTTTGGCTAGGGAGGGAACATGATCAGAGAAGATGACAAAAATATACAATTAATCTGGCAGCTTTTTTAATTTGAAAACTGATTTCTTTTGGTGTGATTCCTAGGAATAATGTCTTCTTCTGGTGGCTTACATGAATTTATTCCATATCAGAGTGCTGCAGTTTGTAAACAGAACAAAATTACTGTATCAGTAAATAAACGTTTAAAAAAATCTAGAAATTAAAGCCAGTAATGCTTTCTGGCTGAAAAAACTAATTAAAAATTATCCCTCAGTGTACCTCTCGTTTTCCTCAAAGCTATATTTCATCACTTTTTGTTCCCTTCTATTTTTGGCATTTCTTCACTTCATATTTTCCCGTATTTTGTCTCTCTAACCTTCCTAATCCAAAGAAAGACTTTTCCACTTTATTTCTACCTTCTCAGCAGACTAATGCCCGAGACTGGTGTCTTCCTCTAGGGACAGTCTTCATAGTCAGCTTGTTTCCTTTTTAATTCATTTTGCTTGTCCTGGTTTGAGCAACACAGATTCTCTTCTAATGTTTGGGAAAACTGCACTGTTAGAAGACTCGAGTGTCTGAATTTGTGAAAATACTTACTTTGTAGCCAGCTATGGTGTGTGGGTTTCAAGGTCTCAGTGTTTTCGAGCTCGCCAGGTGTGGGGATGAGGAGGAGTGAGACCCGGGCACTTGACCCAAGCTGGCCAGCAGGATTATTTCATGCCATGAACATCACATTCAATATAAGTTAGAAAATTTTCTGTGAAGTGCTCTCCCGTGATGGCAGTGATGCAGAGAACTTCTTGCCCTGGTGCCAGACCCCTGAGCCCTTCCCCTCCTCCTGAAGCCATAGCACTCGCAGTGTCTGACATTTGCTGTCCACTTCTGGGAGTGCACAGCTTCCTACTGATAGAATTGGCTGAGTATAATCCTTGTATATTTTATATTGGTATCAGGATCAATACTAGTGCTTTAGTATTTTTAATGTTAATTATTTAGACTTATCCTATCATATTTATTTATATTTCAACCCTCATGTTTCCTTTTTATTCCCCAGTTCCCCATCTTGGGTGAGGAGGGGCCATCAGGTGATAGAATGATTGTCTAAATGACAATAAATTGTTGTGGGTTTCTCAAACCATAGTATGCTTTATTGTGTACTGCTTAACTGAAAAAAAAGAGTGCTGTTGTTTTTCTCATCAGTCATTTTTGGAATAAATAATCTCAAGTCCCAGAGTTCACTCTGTTAATCATGTTGTCTGTGATTTTATTAATTTCTGTTGCCTTTCTCTGAACTTTTAATTAGCCCTCACCCTTCTTTATTGAATGTCTGTAGTTGAATAGACTACATCAGAGAAGGCTGCCTTAGTGTTTTCTACAACAGAATTACTGTGTTTTCCTGCATGTTCTCCACTTTATTCTTGTGACAGAAAAACAATCACTTCTTCTTGTAACTGTTCCTGGATTTGATTTTTGCTTATTTAGTAAGCTGCAGTGGTTCAGCAAAGGGTCAGACAAATGCCACAGCCGGCACAAAAGAATGAGAGCATGTGGCTAACAACGCTGGTTTATGGGTCTTTGTGTCTGCACATGGCAAAGCATGTGGGATGTCCCCTTTTGCCAACAGCAAGCCCTTAAATCAGGTCACCTACTTCATGAAACTTTATCCTTAGACATTCTCTCCTGGCCCTAGCCTGACTTGTATCTTTATGTTACAGGTATTAACTGTGCCAAGGGCCTCATCACCATTAACCTTTTCCAGTAAAGACTTTCATTAAAAAAAAAAAAAAAAGAAGGTGGGTGGGGGGGGGGGGAGACATTAAGAAGACGTTAGGACCTCCTTGGTTTTGTTGGCTTCATTTGTTTTGCAAAGTCTTTCTCTAATCTTCCTGTCACCACCAAAGGCTGTTTTCTTATTATGCTTTCATAGTCTTGCCTAGTTTTATCTCATATTGTATGTTTGCCTGCCCAGGCGTCAGGCTGCCAGGTGTGCCCTACTCTTATGCCAGTACCAGACAGCAGCAGTGAGCACACCCGTGGGAGGTGCACCCAGGTAGAGGAACCCCTCTGCTTGGTGGTAAAGCTCCAGGAGGAGGTGAGGAGGCTGAGGAGTATCAGGGAGTGGGAGAGAGAGAGAGGCTACTGGAACCTCACGCTGCCTTCCCTGGGACAGCCCTGTCAAGCAGACAGGACACATGATACAGGAGATTCCTTATCCTCTCTTCACCCAGCAGAATGTGGTGACTTAAGGGATAGGGGGGAATGGGGACAAGTTACTGCCCAGTGCAGCAGGCGCGTCTCCTCTGTGAATACCCCATCCTCCCAAGTGCCCTGCATAATAGGTACGAGACTCTGCAAGTGGAACCAAACAATGACGAGGACAGTGGTTCATCTAGGTTGGAGGTGTCACCAAGGTTAAATCGGCCTATGTCCTGCATCAAAACCGCTTCCATGAAGAAAAAAGGATGGGTCATTGTCATAGGAGACTCTCTTCTGAGGGGAACAGAAGGTCCAAGATGTCAACTGGACCCAGTTCTTAGAGAACTCTTCTGCCTCCCTGGGAGCCCGGTTAGAGATATGATGAGGAAGCTTCATACTTTGGTATGGCCTTCAGATTATTATCCATTATTGCTTTTTCATGTAGGCAGTGATGAAGTTGCAATAGGAAGTCCAAGGGCAATGAAAGGAGACCTCAGGGCCTTGGCATGACTGGTTAAGGGATCAGGAGCACAAGCAGTGTTCTCTATCCTTCCAGTTTTAGGGAATGATGAAGAAAGAAATAGAAAGGGCCAGCAGATTAATCCCTGGCTCTGAGACTGGTGTCACTGGCAAAAATTTTGGATTTTTTGATCATGGGCCAGTCTACATAACACCAGGCCTGCTGGTGACAGATGCTCTCAAAAGGCGAAAAAGATCTTTGTGCAGGAGTTAGCAGAACTGCCACCTTGGACTTCCAGAGGGCAGACTTTGGCCTGCTTAAGAGCCTGGTTGACAGAGTCCCTTGGGAGGCAGTCCTGAAGGGCAAAGGAGTCTAGGAAGGCTGGACATTCTTCAAGAAGGAAATCTTAAAGTTGTGGGAGCAGGCCCTCCCCATGTGACAAAAGATGAGCCAGCAAGGAAGAAAACTGACCTGGCTGAACAGAGACTTTGGCTGGAACTCAGAAAAAAAAAAAAAAAAAGAGTTTATGACCTTTGGAAAAAGGGGCAGGCAACTCAAGAGGACTACAAAGATGTTGTGAGGCTATGCAGGGGGAAAATTAGAAGGGCCAAAGCCCAACTAGAACTTAAGCAGTAATACACGTGTATTGCTCTAGCATCTTCAGCTAATGTTAGTCCAGGTTTGATAACCTGATGTGGGGTAATTGCCCATACAGACTGGAGAGCTATGGCTTGCACTTTTTCAGATTGAACATCAATCCGATGTTGGGTTTGCAACACCGTTCCAATGCCATCTCCTCTAGATAATACGCAGGTATTTGTCGAAGATACCTGAAATACAAGAATTCAATAATCTGATATTAACAAGGGACGTAAAATAAGAGAAGTGGGGGTATAATGTATAGTGAGCCTTGTAATGCCTTGGACCAAAATCCTACAGTTTCTTTCTGATTTTTCAGCCCAGTTATCTGCCACAATCCTGAGACTATCGTCTGGATTTGTTGCTTCTAATTCACAAGGATATCCTCGCTGAGGAGTGTAT